CCCCCCCCCCCCTCCCCAAAAAAAAAAGACTCTGGTTTCTAGGTGGAAAAGCAGTAATTGCAGAATGAGACTTGAAAGGTCTCAGGGTTGAAAATGTTGCCATTAATGGTTGTGTAAAACCAAGACCAGTAGTAATAATTCTTTCCAACCAAACTGAAGTTGGAAACACTGTTCAAAGATGTAGTGCAGGCACTGGGATCATCTTTGGCTGTTGAGCAAGGTAAGAGATACTTACCTGATCGACAGTTCAGAAAATGAGGAGTGCTGGGAATAGGCTTACATTACAAGGCCAGAGTAGATAATGAAGTGTTAGATTAATTTGGTTGACCTCACTGCCTGATTTTTCTGCTCCAAATACTTTACAACACTACGTGATAGAAGAGGTGGCTACGGTGGGCTGAATTTGCTCGGCTGGAAGGCTGGGCAGCCTCACGCCTTGCTTAGTCTTGGGAGATGGTTTGCCAGAGAACTCTTCACGAGCACACACAAAAAGTGGTAATGGTGAAGCACTTGGCAACAGCGACCAGACCACAGAAACTGAACAAGCGAAAAGGTTTCACCTAAGCTAATTTTCTCAGCTAAACTGATTGGGAATTTTGTTGGTGAGTCCTGTCAAATGCCATAAAGTCAGTTGCTGTAGTTCCAGTCACAGGGGACAATGTATAATCCTGGTATTAAGCCCTGTGAGCTTGGAGATAGGGAGTGTATGCCATCACATGGCTCTTCATTAGAGGCATTTTCATTAAGGTGTACCTTTATTTTGCATTATTTATCTACAGATGAGTGGATTGAGCTTTTTGAATAAATTGCATTTGAAAAGAATGAAATTTAGAACAGTATGTGCACTGTAGCAGAATTTCAGTGACCATTACCTTGTAGAGAACTATAATTCAGCTTAATCACATCTGCTATATGAAAGCGCATCTCCTTTCTTTTCAGAAATACAAATTGTCAGAAAATTGTCTTTCTATTTTTGGAGGTACTGATGTGACCTTGGCGTGTTACCTCACTAGGATTATACTTGACACCCCCCCCCCCCCCCCCCCCCCCCCAGCAAGAATATACTTTCCTTAAGAAGTTTTGAACAGATACAATTTGGCTGCTGGAAATGAAGAATTGTGCATCTTATGATGCAAGTATTACTGTAAAGGCTTTATCAAATCAAGGAAAGAGTTAATTTTCCAAGGTTATTTTGGAAAACTATAGCAAGAATTGTTTTGCTAATTTTGAGAAACTTTAAATTATGATTGTGCTTTTAGTTATGCATTTTGCTGTCATAAGTGTAGATTTTCAGCTGTTGCGAATCGAAATTTCAGTGCTGAAATCAGTGTTGAATTTAAAATTCATTGCTTGAGCTAATATTAACAAAACTGAATTTAAATGTTTGAAATATTTTATCACACAGAAGCTGACACAGCAATTCCATGGAAAAGAAATTTTGACAGAGAGATAAAGCAGGTAGTTTTTATACTATTCAAAAGCTGAGTGCCTTTGAGTACTTTGCTGATGAGAAAAAAACAGCTGGTAATTGTGTAATTTACAACTGTAAATGCTGTAAATCTGAAGACTCTCCAGGAAAACTTTTAATTGGGTTTCATACTCTTACAGAAGCATGTGTATTCTGAGAATTTTCTCTAAAAGGATTAGTTCTCCTGCATTA